ACACACACACACACACACACACACACACACACACACGTGTAGTAGGTATATTTCCATGTCCTGGTGGAAGATTCATTCAATTTTGGCGGCTTGGATGGAGGAGCGCCAAGCCCTGAGTGCCATGCGGTCGGGGTTTAGGGACTTTGCGCACGATATGGTTACCCACGTTGGGGGAGAAGTCAGGAAGTTGAGAGACAACGTGGGAAAGTTCTGCGAAGGTGCCAAAGCGATAGCCGTTGTAGAGGGCGAGGCCAGACCCCATAAAGAGTCTGTAAAGCTCAAGTTCCCAGATGCATACGGGGGAAAGAAGGAGGATAACTTTGACAACTGGGAGGCCAGTGTCAACAGTTATGTGTACTTACAGCATATCCTGACAGAGGAGCAAGTCCTCGTAGCCTTCCAGGCCCTCAAAGATGAAGCGGCTAGTTTTGCCAGATCCCTTGCGCACGCAGCCGGTTGTGAGAACAACTTGGTTGCATACTCTAAAGTCATTTCCCTTCCTCAATTCTTCAAGCTCCTGAGGGAGCGATTTGGTGATCCAACGAGAGGCGTCAGAGCCTCTGACAAGTTACAGACGATCCACTCGCGTCAGTGGAGGAGTGCGAGAGCACTCAAGGGCGTTATGGACGACTTGGTAGTCGTCCTAGACCATGGGGTCACTGAGACCCAATTGGTCCAATTGTTTTATCGTGCCATGCCCGAGCCCCTGCGTGGGCATTTCTTTGAGAAGTCTCAAAAGGCCGACTTCACTTACGATGTGCTGAGTAGAGAAGTGATCCTGTATGAGTCAAAGTCCATGACAATGTCCACTTTCTGGCACAAGGACTTGGACAAAGGGAAAAGGTGGAAAGGTCGTACCATCTCAGGCCAAGTAAGGGCCAAGGATCATATGATCCTTACCTTAGAGGAAGGTGGTCTTGATGAGGTCCCATATAGTCAGATCGAGTGGGGCCTCGAGGATGAGGACAGTAGCGTGGGGCAGGGGAGGTCCTATGCTGCTGTCACGGCTGGAGGGAAGACCCCAACACCTTATCCCATTTGGCCTTGTCGTCGGCCTGGGCCTCCACTTCTTGCCTACAGTCCTTCACCTTTGCCACCTCTGCGGTCAGCCTAGTGACTTCCTCCCTCCTTCTCTTCTTCTCCCTCTTCATTCTCAATTTCCATTCCAACTTCTGCTCCTCCTCTCTTTCTCACCGTTCCATGGGGTCCTCCATTGCCATTAGCTCTGTGGCTAACGCCTCTCTCTCATCCTGAGGCACATAAGACTCTGCCTCCTCATCTTCCCCCAATGATAAATTAGCAACCCACTCGCTGCTCTTCCTCTCCATTTCTGCGTCTTCATCCCTCTTCATGCCACTACTCCCCTCTCTACTCTCAATACGCATCCTCTCTTTTGCTTCTTCTGCAGTTGCTTCCTGTTCGGCAACCTTTCTCCTCTCTTCCTCCTCCTGTTGAACCCTCTTCATCTCCTCCTCCAATCTCTTCATCTTTGTCGCCTGCTCCTTCGCGATTGCCTTTAGCTCCGCCTGCTTCTCGAGCTCCTTCCTCTCTTTGTTTTCTCTCACTAAGGCGGCCATCTTTTCTTGTTGCTCCTGCGTGTAGGGGCTAGTGCTTAACCCACTTCGGGTGTCAACGGGTCCTCTGACTTCCAGTAAAAAAATCATTCGACTGGATCTCGCCGGTATCACCTATAGGCTGTAGCGCTTCGAGATGTCGTTTAGTCGTCTGTCCCCAATACGATAGGTGATCTGCCCCCATGTAGTATTTCACCACTCCGACTAAGGCCTTGCTACCATGGTGATAAGTGTACAACCGGATTAGTGGTTCCAAACCTCACCACGTAGACTCTAACCCCTGACAGACAAACCTACTGACTCAATCTAAGGACTCACAGAATCCTGACAGGGATCCTGCCAACTAGGATCTCTAGCCTAGACCTACACTATGGTTGTCACTACTAGACCTGTTGCCAATCAGGAGGCATTTAAGGAGATCCCCCAAACTCCTCAGGAATTATTTAACGTTGCAGACAGGACGACGCGATCAGCAGGTCTCTCAACACTTAGACGGCCTATTGTGCAGCCCACAGCTCGGATTTTGGGCCTACCGTGCCACACCGAGCAGCCCGCCGGTCAGTACCGGTCCTTGGGAGGGTTAGGCCTCCGGGACAGTCGAGTCGTCAGACACAGTCTTTAGCCCTACTCAGCGCGTGTGGGTTTGGTCAACAAGGCCCTATCCTTCATCCACAGAGTACTATCACCTAGGGCAGAAGAGACTCAATGTAGAAAGAAGAGACAAACTGACTGGACTCAGCAAGTACCACAAGGTGTGTGCACATCCATAGGGCGAGGGATAGGCTGAAGGCTTGGCGAGATTTTACCGGCTCCAGCTTGGTCCAAGTCTTGGTCAACGCTGCGGTCAACCCCCGGTCAACTCTGGTAACCGCCGGTCAACATCTTCGGTCAACTCCTGGTCAACTCTCCCGGTCAACGCCGCGGTCAGCTATGGCTGTCGGCTTCTCCTTTCCTCACCAACCTTCCTCTTCCCTTCACCTTCCTCGCCTCCTTTCACCCTGCTGTTTTCTTTCTTTCATTTTTTTTTTTGTTTTTTGTTTTTTTGTTCACCTCTTCTTGTTCCTCTCCTCGGCTATGGCTTCTCTCTCCCTTCTCGGTCTCTCCCTCTGTCCACTCCCTCTCTCTCCTTCGTCACTCCGTGGTGCAAGCTTCGCGGCTAAGGCCGCTATCTTCTTCTTCGTGGACTGCGCGGCAACTTCACAGGTACGTAACAGCCAAACTTGTATCTCTCATCTCTCTCTCTCTCTCTCTCTCTCTCTCTCTCTCTCTCTCTCTCTC